ACAACAATCGGAAAAGGCAGTGGCGCGTTGGAGGCGACGTGGCATCCGTTGAATTGGATGGACTAGGTGATTTACCGTTCCGATCCACAGAAAGCCAAAAATGTAGCGTGAACCCATTTGGGCTCGTTCGTATGTTACTAGCAGCAACCGGAGTATTGGGGCTAAAATTTCAGATGAGCAAATAAACCGTCTGATTAACACAACCCACCGATTTCGGACCAACATCAACTATCGAAAAGCGGTTTATTATATGCGTACAGTATAAACGTAATATGATTCGCAGCAAATGCCACATTGCACTAGTCTGTGGTTAAAAAAGCAATGTAGTAAATAATCCTGGGGAACGCACATAATAAGTTTATTGAATTTGGCGCGAGAGAGTGAGGCAATAGAAAGAACCGGAATCTAAGTAAAGTAGAAGGTTAGAATAACATTTCATAAAAGCTGGAGCAAAAGTGGAAAAATCCTCAAGTCCCGAACAATAAAAGTACTCACTAACGCATTATTCATAATTACTTTATTTATCTGGGTGTTTCACGCAGAGCATAGTGAATTCTATCATAGGGCCTGTAGTTGATCAGATTTGATAAAATAAAAGTTACCACAAAGATAGAATTTCTCGAAAATTCGTGCTATCCCACCCGCTTTTTGACCTGAAGAAATTATTTGGGGTACGCTTTTCAAGGATGATCAACACTTGAAAGCACCTAAGCCCATCAGGGTAAACTGTTACAGCACCCATAAGTATGATGGTAGCAAGAGAGCTATTCTTTCAATTCAGCTATGAAGCTTTATTGCTCATAATTGAAATAAACCTGATGAGAAACTGAATCACATTTTGGCCAAAGTTTTACCCATCCTCCAGATGACATTCAGTTATTTAGCTTTCATTTATTAAGCTCTATACATCCAGGGGGTCAGTCGTCCTCGGAATAACTTTGATGTAGTTCATTTTGAGTCCTGTTTGTATAACCATTGGTCATGCACTTTCTTGTGCTAGTTTTGGTGGCTGTCTTTTGGCTGCTCATTCAGATGAAGCAGTAGGATGAAGACAGGGCAGTTAAAAGTAGAGTAGAAGAGAAAAAGGAGAATTTCGCTGAACTAAGGTTGTGAAGAAATTGAGAAACTGAACGAACACTATTGTTTACGACACAGCCATATAATTCAGTATCTCTAACCACCAGTTACGATCATCCCGAGGTCCCCAGCCAGGGAGCCTAACGCTACCTACGTAACCGAGTCTCCTGGTTAGGTTTTTCATACCATTAGGCCAGGTTTTCTGTTGACGACCCTTGACTTGGTTCCATCCAACCGGATGTCGTGGCGGCGCCACAGATATCTCAAGTGTGCCAATTCCAATCGAACCTTCTGTACGTGAGCTGATACTTCATCCATGATAGGTCCACCAGGTTAGATATAGCTGCCCAAATAACAAAACTTTTCCACTTGGTCCATTGATTCCGCAGTTAGAATGAGGCTCGGGCTGAACCCAACCCAATATTGTGGCAACCTTTTACACTTTGAAGGTGCAAAACACATACCGAACATAGCTACGCTGGAACTCAAACTATCCGGAAAAGCTTGCAGCTTACCTGGATCTTCACTTAGCCGTACATTTTCGTCTGCATACTCCAAATTAGACAGACGGTCATCTGGAAGTAAATCGATGCCGCTATCCTCGCACGATCAATAGCGGACTACTATCTTAGTATAAGACCATTGTCATTTGAATCGTTGAAGGAAAGCCATGCACAATGATATTGCCCTGCTAAGAAACTCTGTTTTTGTTTATCCCAGGCCAGCAATCTAAACAGTGTTCCTCAGTTAATTTAACATTTATTTGTGGTTTTAGCTGAAAACCGCAGCAAAAAACGCATGAATGGTATGTCAAATATCAACTGTTTGATTTGTGACATGGAGTTTCTATGAAATACAAACTGATCAATGATGAAATCATAAATGGGTGTACCACAGAAGGATTCTCTCCATGAATGTTTCTTATTTGGTGACTGTTCTACCGCAGGGTAAATGGTCTCAGGCGGACGAAGATTTCTACGACCTTAGGCCGGGAAAATGAGACCCTGTTTACGTTAAATGCATCATTGGAGTTGAAAAACGGATTCAGTTTACGGATTTTACTTAAATGAAGTATTGCCATGACACCTTTTTAAGTGATGAAAGAGAAGTACAATCCATTTATGTGTATTTATTTACCAGTAGCTATTATTCTGACATAAATCGGAAAGGCAGCAAAAAAGATGTTTAGAATTTTTACCCGGTGATATCAATATTTCAACATAGGAATTTGTGTCGTGCTAGGTTAAAAATGTCTAATATTTTACACAAATATACGAGAATTTCCCATCATTTTGTGTAATTTTTTCATCATACTTTTTGACCATAAGTCGTGTGCGAACATAGAGCAGTTTTGATTAGACGAAGTAGATAACTGATCGCGTCTAACAATAAAACTCTCAAGAATTGAGAAATCTAGAAAGACGCAAAATGTCAAGCTACAGTACTAACATTGGTTGAAAATTATAAGCAAGACTTTGATGTAGCAAGTGAAACAGAGGTTGATCTGTAGCAGATTTCACATGCATCTTGACTGAATAAATGCAATGCATTAAGAGAGGGGTGTGTGAGACACTAACACAAGAGCATGTTAAAAACAACCATCTATCTTTTGTGTGTAGCGAAATTTTTAGAAATACTAAAATTACAAACTGAACGCATAAGATATTGACCAGCGGATTCAATCGATATGCGAATTCTTTCACGTGACGCGCATTGCGAACATTTAACTTCTTAGTTCAAACAGATACCTGTATCTTTATCAAGAAAGAGAAATTTGCGACGCTTGGTGATATTCTGCACTTTGCGGGTGAGCATGCATTCGATCAAATAACCAACTGAACAAGCACAAAATAGCTCTCAATTTGTTGTGAGTTTGTGTTGTCATTACTAAAACACATTTGACGGATAACTGTGATTCGATTCGACAAATAAACTGGTGAGAATACTACCAGTCATCAACATGCATCAAACATCACGTGAACAATGCGCTCGAGAGTTTTTAAACTTTAGTTCAATTGCAAACAGAACGAGATTTTATCCTTATACACGACACTTGTGAAAACAACTGGAAAAGATGCTACCGTCAAAGTACAAACAGTTCACTCACGATTCCGAATTTGCTGATTCCGGGCGTAACGGCAAAATCAGCATACCATCTTTTTGTCGGCTGAATTCCAACCAGTTACCGGTTGCCGGTAAAACATGCATTTCTTTCAGCTTTGGCTGTGCGATCCGGATCAAGGCCTGGAAAGAAAAAAAGCCATAAATAAATAATTGGAGTAAACACAACCATTAATCGTTTGTAGGATATTACTCGTTTGCGAATGCTCAGGGTAAACAGTCTTCCTCAATGACGTGCACAGAGGAAAAAAATGAGAAATAATTTTCATTGGTAAAGATTACTGGATTGTGGGACAAAATGAACCCTGGGATTCAGTTTCCCTAATCCAACACGAAAGATGTTTTGAAGGTTTACAATTTTCGGGAAGAATTTCCCGGTGAATGGAACAAATGAATACTAGAATGAAAGACGTTCAAGCACTGTAAGGTTTCTATCCATGTTTCATTAAGTTGTCCATTGTATGGATATTTTTCATCTGCTTCTTCTATTTAACCAAATGAATAAAACACCTGTACTTTGTTCCGCTTAGTTTCACATTACACATAAGCCCACAAAAGTATACCTTAAGGACATTTTTCAACCTTTATACTACTAATTGGATACTTCAAATATTTTTTTCAGAACCGTTCGATCTTCCGGACCTGATGTATTACAGGTAAGGTGTCTTGCTTTCTCCACCGTTTCTAGTTCATCGTAAATGGCAATCCTTTAGGCTCCAAGGAGCTGATTTAACCGTTTTCAGAATACCGATCTTTGTATTTTCAATAATGAAAAAGTGTCACTCAGAATGGCACGGCAAAGTGGTTATCTCGGGTCCGAACACCATTTCAAACTGCATAAACAAGTAATTCAGTGAAATAAAAATACGACAGCAAATAAATTCAGATCTTCAAAAATTTACAGTACAACAATAATGAAGATAAATCATTGCTGTTCAGTGAAATGTTACCTTACCTTGAGAATATTACTGCTTTGATGTCGTACCGGTTCATAGCGAAACAGTGATAATAAGGCATTCAAATCGCTGGCTTGCATTGAATGCAAGCCTAATGTTTCCAGTATTAAAGTGAAATATTCCAGCAACCCCTGCCCAGCAAGCTCAAGGTCGTAGTAAGGTTGTGCGTTTGCATGTTCGTCTTCAGTCTAAAGTTGTGGAAACGATAAAAATCTCTAGTTGATATCTCAAGCAAATATTCCCATAATGATTCACGACTCGTCAAATAACTCGTTTAATAGAGAAACATCACCAGGAAGCGTCTTCATTAGGCTTCTACACATCCCTCGAATTGTAACGATTTATTTTTAACAGTCTTATCTTCTAAACAACAGAATGAACTTGCATACTGGATCACTTAGAAAAAGGGTGAATTATTTAAAATATGTCAACTTTTAAGAGATTTACCATTTAGGGAAGGAGTTCGGTGTTTAAAATTGTCAGATTTCGTTGAAATATGTAGGTAGTTCCATTCGTGAGACAAAGATTACTTATCTACTTTTGATGGATACAAAAAGCAAGTAAATGCAAGCATAAACAGATTATTTGATAACATTCAAGGAAATCGGTTTTGGTTGCTCACAAAACGATGAACTAACATTTGATTGTTTCAGTTGTGTCAAAGTTGGTTCATTCTTCAACATTTATGCGTTTTTTATCTTGTTTTAACCAGGAAAATAGTATTAATCAGTGCGATTTTCAGTATTCATTTTCATTAACATTAGCATTGCTACCATCATCATTGTCAGATCTCACCAATACGAGATTGACGTCCTCACTCTTAATTAATCTCTCTTGGATAAGCACAGTTACACCTTCTAGTTTGATCAAATAGATGATGCATACAACTATAACGGAACGACAATATAGTCCTCCAGTAAATTTCACGTAAATAAATGACCCTTACATAAATTTCCACTAAGCAACGAATATCATTGAATTGATCAACTTCATGATTGTCATAAGCTTTTCTCAACTCCTAATGCTAAACACTACTGAGCACCTACCAAATGTGTATAGATACAAACAATACACACGTATTTATCCCGTTCTAAGTATTGATTAAACTAAAAATGTGGAACTAGAGGAGGATTTGGTTTGGGCATGTGGCGAATCTTGTCATGTACGGAGCAAATAAAGCGTGATTTGAAAAGCTAGGAAGTATTGGATATATATATATATATATATGTATATCGCATGCTAAAGCTATGTATTGTCAGTCATGATGCAACTATGAGTGTAAAGAATCAAGTGAGTCTATAAGGGTTTAAAATAACAATTACAGTACAAGACGATACGAGACAGAGGAACATGTACCATTAGGAAAAGAAACCGACGCGTTGCTCTGATTGTAAGAATAAAGCTAATTAAAGGGACTATTAGAGACATCATCATTCAGCAGTAAACTGCAGTTGACTAGTGGTCTCACTCAACCATGTCTAGGAGGATTCAATATCACTAAAATAGCGTAAGACATTTGGAACGAATGAATGCATGGTGAGTCACAGACGGATGTTCTTAAGAATACTTCTAAAAAGTAGTTCATGATGCCACTGAAAGACGGATGAAAGTCGAGGGATTGGAAACAGGATGACGGAGTAGGTTGACGAAAGTTCGCGTAAAAGTCAAAAAAGTAAAATTCCAAGAGCTCGCGACTATGAATGGTTACAGAGGACTGTTGGGAAGTGATTTTGAACCCAAATCGTTGCTTATTACTAGTTGAATTCCATACAGCAAGGTAATCTTAAAAGGTGACATCACATGCCGTCTTGATTGGGGACTGCCTAATAGAATTTTACTGAGGTTTTTGATTTTGCAATTATTGGGTACCTATATGAGAACACGTGCATTCTAGACATGGTCATCGTTACAATAATCAGTACAAGAACCCCTGTACAGAAAATCCGTCGTAGTCAGGAAAAGCGCAATTCGAATGCGGAGATTTATGAAGAGGGAAATACATAAATGGAGCAACAGGTAACTGCAACTCCACATTCTACTGAAGTTAAAGTATCCGTGTTAACATACCTTTTCCGTCTCTATTTAACATATTCCAATGCAACGCAAACTCAAGCGTTCAGAAAACGGTGGAGTTACATCCTGATGAAAGTTGGCGTATTCGGTGATAACACAGAAATACTGTAGGTTTGATTTGGTTACATGCCATCTGATGCAACTTGAAATGAACTCAACTGAGCATCACGTCAAAAATTCTTTTTTGATTGACGCCTTATTCTTCTTGAATAAGTTCTAAAAGTCCCGCTGTAACAGATCAGTAATCTTGAAGTGAGCCGATCATTTTTGAAAACCCGTTTTTTGACAGTGACAGTAATTCGGTTCATAAAAAACAAGGAGCGCGTTTCTAATTAATAGAGGCTGCATGTACTTTATAGGAAGACAAGTGGATCGTTAGTGAATAGTTTAGCAAGAGCAGTGAAAAAAAAACTTGATACAAAATTTTGTTCCATCTGTTTAAACATGACACTAACCGGAGGCAGATGAAACTGGTGAGTGGTCGGTATATCAAAAGGCGTTTCCAGAGTATCGTTCTGAGTGTATATGTGAGATAGCCAGGCGCAGAGTCGCACAATGCTCGGAACTAGGCCAGTTTTGATCACATTTATCTCAGAACAGTAGGCCCGACTCAATCGTCCAACGCTACCGTCGGCTCCAAGTGACTCAAGTAATACTTTAAATAATTTGTCGATCAGCGCTGATACAGAAGTAGAGTAGAATTGTCCCGGATTCGGTTTAGCATAGATGACCAATTCAGCCGTCCAACGGAGAAATAGGGCAAAGGCCTTGGCCTCAGTAACGATCAAACTTTGATTTATTCTTTTCGTGGAGTTTGTGACATGTCCAAAACGATGAAGGATTATCTCTTTAGAGGCAGGGCTACTTGGGGAACGTCCAAAAACCTGTTGATTAAATAAACGAAAGTGAAGTAGCTTCATTATGACATTATCAATTTTCTGATACAGAAAAAAGCCTCCGTGAAAACGAATTTATCAAACAAACGTCTTGCGATTGCTTATAGTTATCAAGCCGTTTGTCATTGAATCACTTTCCTTTAAGAAAGGAATCCAGTAATAATTCTTTACCATCACATACTTCTCTATTTTTCCAATGTAGCATCTTTTATATCGTTTTTATTTCGAGTACATCTTCCACTCGTGGTTGTAGAGTGAATGGTTGCTACACAAAGTTATAGCTTAAATTCCACTGATCAAGAAAATCTTTTTTCACTCACAAATCTCTTGTTCGTTGTTGTCACTTTCGAAGACCGAGGTTTATACATTTTCCTTAGTCTTAAATTTCATTACTTCCAAATGGTTTGGATAACGGCCTCTTTCTCCACAGTTACATGGACTTCTTTTCTTCTCCTTGCGCCAAAAACACATAAGAGCTTCTTCTTAAAACTCCAAAATTCAAGACCACTATGTAACTCAAAAACATAGTTGTCGTGAATGTTTATGAAAGTGTCTCTTAAGTTACCAAATATTAGTGCTATGTAACACTTTTCTGGTATGGTTTATTGCACCTAATGTTCAGTAAACATATTAAGCAAACCTAACAGACCCAGTACCCACGAGATAGAACTGTACTAACGGATTTATAATGGACAGTGTCGCAGATATCAGTGGTATTCGCAAATATTTGAGCGCATACAGCAACACACGGCACTCCCGAAGTACTTAAATCCTCACTGATACAATTTGACAAAGGATTTTAATGACGTTCTGTATATCACCTGCATGGCGTACACGTTTCACATCAGCTTACTCAGATACAACATTTGATACTCGTTACCAATAAAAGGCCAATGCGTAGCCTTTGTCTCAGAAACAAGTTGCTTTTATCGTCAGCTTGTAGGTATACAACCCGATGGCAGTGTTTTCTAGGTGTTTGATCTTAGGGAATTACAGTGTTAAAATCGGTCCAAACCCAGACAACGGAGGAGTCTACTCTTCCGGCGTACGTTATAACGGGGATCGCTGCTGTTTGTAACAAAAGACTGAAGCAGTTTATTTTATTTGTCACGTCACTACGAGAAATTCTCTCATTGGATGTGTTTATTGAATTAAATGCGGAAAAATCCAATTATTCGCCTCGTGTAGAGGGTGTTTCACTAACATTATGGAGTCGTACAGTAGCAAGCTTGGACTAGCCCATTCGTTTGTTAAGAGGCGTCAGGTACTCTTGATGTTCTTGCGTGTGGGTTTCACTTCTTGGGAGATCATTATTTCCCCGCAATTTCATGCATTTACATGAGATAGAAATGTTTGTGATAACCAACAAAGAGCACTGGACAGTTGTTTCGTCCTGTTTGGGACTCGTCAGCAGTGCGTGCGTTTTGTGTCCCTGTCAGGACTCGCACCGCGAACGTTCGAGTTGGGACTTCAAACCCTTATCCCTGAGCTACACGTTAAACGGTCATCACCTTGTGCGAATGGCTCAATCAATTTTATAGTAGCAATCTTGGATGAGCCCATTCGTTTGTTACGAGGCACCAGGCCCTCTTGCTGGAGTTTTGTTTAACACCCATGCTACTCACGGTTTGATCCAGATTATACTACGAAGATGAAAAACACTGATTCCAAACCTTCTCAGAATTGACGTGTGAAGTGGTTCCAGGACAACGTAGTCGCAATGGTCATCAACGTAATTGAGCTATAGAATATATTGGATACCCTAGTAAGGTGTGTATGATCCACATAACAGAATACCAGCTGTCACGTACGCCGTCATAAACGAAATGAAACACTTCCAGACCTGTAGCCTAGCACAAAAGCAAAACGACTGTACATGGGCGCAGGACAGTTTAGCATATACATGGTATAATCATAGAACGTTTGGATCAATGAATCGATAACAACGGATGGAACGCGACAAACAACTCGTAGATAAAACTAGTGAAGCCGACCAATCACGCGCTTTCGGCCCGCTGACCTGGACTCAACACCTCACATTATAGGTAGAGTCATTGTTCCGGAACGAAACAGTCGATCGGTTTCGATGATCATTTCAGCTTACGAACTGTGATCGGTCCATCAAGTTCCAGTAAATCTTTCGAGTTAAGTTTTTCCTCGGCTTCTCTTGGGTAATAATCATCCGTCGGGAATGTACGAACTGCCTCAGTTTGTCATGAAACCACCTTGCTATTATCAAGTTCCATTTTAGTTTCCGTCGTAGGCTGCTGCCGCAGTTATCCGAGTTCACATACACTCAGGTGTGGCCTCCGAATGCCTCAGTATGTTTGGGGGAGGGTGTCTCAGGTTGAGGCAGGTTATCCCTCTATCGCACCACGCGAAATGCTCCCATACGAAAAAGCTTCTCCTGAGGAAGCCCTAGTCAATGCTCTCCCACGGCGGAGATGTTTTCCCATCGAAGCGAGAGGACGAAAGGCCAATATCCGAGGCAATAACCGGCTCGGTGAAGCATTGGTCGTTTATTTGGGGGATTTGGCTAAAATCCTGATTTTAAACCAACCAAGAGACGTACGAAACACACACGCACACATTTCTGTGTGCGTTTAACCAAACCGAAGAGCGCATGATCAGAAGAAATGTGCCCGATAAAACGCGGCTTTCACACATCGGGCTTTTCCCTTGAGCGTCAGGCATTGGTCACCCAAAGGCTACGGTTGTCTAGGGCAATCTGGTAAATATCGAAAGACAGATACATAGATCATACAAAGATAGAAAAATAGATAGAAGGACAGATAGATAGTTAGATAGACACGGATAGGTAGATAGATAGGTAGATAGATAGATAGATAGATAGATAGATAGATAGATAGATA